TGTGTGTGTTAGGCAAGCATCCAGCCCTTTAGCATTGTGTTTTGTTCCTCTCCTTGTCGGCTGGTTCCTTTCGAACACGTCACCATTCTCATCCTGCGCATCCACTGATGACGCCTAAGCTGCTCCTGGATGGTGCAAATGAGGGAACGGCGAGCGTTTATGTACAGATCTTTTTGTGGCTGTCTGTTTTCGTTTCCTTTGGATATACACTGCAGTGCTTTCTGGGACACGAGGCAAGCATACACTCATGGGAGACAGCTGGACGGTTTTCCCCAGCGCCTGCACAAATTATACCTCTAGAACATACCATTTCCTCTGAGTAGGACAGGCCAAGACAGACCTGGGCAAAGATAATGTTTAAAATGCCATCAGGGTTAGCTAGTCAGTTTCAAAATGACTTCTAGGCTGTTAGGAGACACTGCCCTCGGATGGGTCTCTTGGCATTGCTCACAGGCACCTTCTGAGGCCTTCCTTCGTCTCCTCCAGTCCAGACATGTGAAAGCTCACTCCCTAGGTTGCCTTGCCAACCACTAAACTGAAAGTAGCTAAGCAAATCCATTTATCCTCACACGTGAATGATTGTCAGCTCTCACCCCACCAACACCCTCAAGTACCCGTGTTTTAAATGTGGAACTTAACCATCTAAAGGAATTAATCACTGCTGGTAGCTATCGAGGGGACGGGCTGTCTTTTTAGTGTAGTCCAAAAATTACGTGAGGGTTTGCAAGATGGTATTGGTTATTAAAGGCCTTTGCCTTCGAACCTCGTGACCTGAGTCCAATTCTCTGGACCCATGTGGTGGAAGGAGACTCCTGCAAGTTGTCTTTTGACCTATACAGGTGTAAAAAAAATAATAAAAGTTATGTGAAGCCCTGGGCAGCACGTATGGGGTGTGTGTGTGGTTGGGAGGGCTGTGAGTTTGAGGCCAACCTGGGCTGCATAGTGAGTTCCACACTAGCCTTGACTCATATATATTAAGCTAAAACAAAAAATGCTATCTGTCCTGTCAGATGTAGGTTCAAATCCCAGTCCATACTTCGAAAAGAAAGCAAATTCTCCCCATGTCTGTGTCCTTGCTCACTAACTATTGACAGTTATTTGTGGCTTAGCACCAAAGTCTTGTTTAGCTTTAGCATTTGGCTTACCTAAGCAGGACTTTCCAAAAGAACAAATTATGGCATCGTTATTGTCTAGCGCAGGGGCAGCCATACTGTGGGCACTTAACCCATTTATTGACTGGCGCATTAATTAATATGATAAGGATTTGCAAACTGCGGAGAGCCACTGATGTTCTAAGTTTAACAATGCATTATTCTTTGTTGATTGGATAATTGAGATGGGGTCTTGCTATGTAGCCCATGCTGGCCCAGAACTGGCAGCAATTCTCCTGCCTCAGTCTCCAGAGTGCCAGGACAGGGATATGAGCCACCAAGGTAGGCAAGAGGACTGGGTTTATGAGCTCTCCAAGGAGCCCGGGGAGACAGGACCCTGTGAATTGGAAGAGATCATCCATTCCAGTGGGACCAAGATTGTAGCTTCTCAGATCACCCTTCACCCCAAACTTGAGAATTCCACGCTCTTCGGAGGTCACCCAGTCTGACCTGGAAGTGAGTGGTAACAGCGTTGAGGAACACCAGGGTGAGGTAGGAAACGCCCTTGAAGGAGCGGTTGCTTAAATTAGACGCGAGCCCTCTACCTCCATCCCCGGAGTGTGCTGGGATTACCAGCGATTGTCACCACGCCCGGTTCTCTACGGTGCTGGGGACTAGAACCCAGGGTCTGTGCCTGCCAGGCAAGCACTCTGCCAACTGAGCCACCTCCCCAGCCCCAAGATGGCCTTTTCCCAAGGGAACGGACGGAGCTCGCCCTCCTGAGGACCGAGGCTAGCAAATCAGCAGCTTCCCTTCTTCATTTAAAAAAGGTTCGTTTAACGAAGGTTCTGTCTGTGAGCCTGCGCCCAGCCAAGACTTCGGGTCCTGCGTGGCGACCGTCCTCCCCTCGAGGGTACCCACTGCCCGCCCTCCGGGCCCTGGCCCTCCGCCCCGGCCGCGCCCCTGGCGCAGCCCCTTTTGGCACCGCGGCTCCCAGGTGCCCGGCGCAAAGGCGGAGCCAGATTGCAGCCGCCTGGGTGGCGCCACCGAGACCCCCGGGTGTTTGCGGGTCCCGGCACTCCGGCTGCGACTCCCGCAGCATCCCCGGCCGCGGCTCCAGCATCCCCGGGAACCCGAGGCTCTCCGGCCGTGCACAGCCCGCGGACGCCACCACCATGAGCGCGGGGCCGCGATGGCCGGCACCCGGCAGCCTGCCTGCGCTCTGCGCCGCGCTGCTCCTGCTGGGTCTGCAGCCGCCCCCCGTGAGCGCCGAGGGTGAGTGTCCGCAGCCGCAGGGGCCCCGGGGCAGCCGGGAGGCCAGCTGGGCTGGGGGTGCAGCCTGGAACTGACCACCCGGAGTCCCAGCATCACCGGGCCCCCACCCTTCCCCGCGCTCCCCGCCGCCCGCTTCCAGGAGAGAGAGCTCTAGAATGAAGTCACGTCTAGGCTGCCCTCGAACTTCCCCTGCTGGGGCTGATTTTTTTCCATCTTCCCTCGGTTTCTCAACGTCTGTTAAGTGGGTGCCCTTCCCGGAGGCTGCGGTTAGAGAATATTCGCGTTGTCCAGGAAGATTTGAAAGATGAGTGGGGATCCATGTCCCCGGCAAACGGGGAAGGAAGGCGTCCGGGAAGGGGGAACAGCCTGAGCTGAGGTGCTCACTCAGAGGTGTTGGGGAACATGGGACACATGATTGAAAAACAAAAAAGCAAGGTGGGAGCCGAGCTGCCAGGTGGGGGTGGATGCCTTGGGACAGGAGATGGAAAACGAGGTAGCAGCAGCCAGATGACAAGTTGACCCACTTTGTTTTTTTGAACCCGAATTCAGCTTAAAAAAATCCAAACATTTAGTATTTATTTTGTGTATGTGTTTATTTACTTTGTTAAGTCTGAATTCAGCTTTAATTTTTTTTTTAAATTAGCGTGCTCATGTACGAGTGTGCGTGTGTGTGCATGCGTGTATGCTTACACGCATGCTTGCCAATGTGAGTGTGTGGAAGTCAGAAGACAACCTGAAGGATTCACTCGTTCCCCACGCACTACGTGGGTCCTTGGGGGTGGAACTCAGGTCGTCAGGTTTGGCAGCAAGCGCCTTTACCCACTGAGCCATCTCGCTGGCCCCTGAATTTGGCTTTTGATACTTGCCTTACACTAGCAGGATTAGGGCCCCGGGTCAATACGATTTCCGTCTGAAAGCTAATCCAGCTGTGTATAGCTGTTGAAACAAAACTCCTCAGAACGGGGAGCTGGAGATTCTGACGGCAGCCCGCTGTCCTTAGAAGGTTTCTAGAAAGTCCACCCTCGGAACGACCTTGACCGATGGAGGAGAAAAGCCGTTGGCCGATTTAGGAAGCTTTTCATACACTGAAATATAGTTATTTAAATCTGGTAAGGTACCAGGGAAGCTAAAGACCGGGGAAAGAAAATCCTGGTGCGTGAGGAAACGGTGAGGGGACAACATGACAACACAGGTGTGCTCTCTGAGTGTGCATGTGTGTGCCACGTATTCACAAGGACTTGGGCTCTCAGTCAGCCTCTTAGCCGTGCCTTCAGCATTAAGAGAGAGCACTGCTAACTCTAAAGGCTGTTCGTGGCCCCTCTGATTAATTTCTAATTAATTTATTTGGCAGTGCTATAGAAGCATCCGGCCACTGAGCTATATCGTCAGTCCCAAATTAAAAAAAAAAAAAATCTACATATGCTTCATAAAAGTTACCGTTTAAAAATGTATAACTGAGGTTTTAAAAATATACATGTATAAACGTTTTGTTGTACAAACAATGTTTGTGCATCTAATTCTAGAACATTCCATCATAGCCACATGAAACATCATACCTCTTTGCAGTCCATCCACTGGTGATGCTTTAGTGTTTCTGGCCTGATGTTGAGTTATGAAAATTAAACTGATTTTAAAGAATGCAAGTAGAATGTGTTGGGGTTAGTACTCACTATTGAACAATGTCTACTTTTGTTCCAATTTTAATTTCTTTGAACAAAATCTCCTTCCATGGTGTTTTATAGCGTCTCACCCCATTATGAACGCTTAAGCAGAATGCCTCATGGATAAGGATCAAAGATTTGTGCCCATCTGGCTTGGGGCGGGGCATAGAAAATACAAGGTGGGATTGCCATCCAGCAAAGAGAAACTGAGGACTCCTTGTGTGTGGTTTTTATTGCTGGAAATGCTTCCTGTTTCACCTCCACCACCTTCCCTTCCCCCTCTCCACTTGGCCTATGCAGAATTAGGGGCGCACTTCATTTTAAGAACATGCCGCTTGCCAAGCCCTCCCTTGTATAGTGGAGCCATGGAAGAATTGTCAGCTCTGTTCTGAACAGATCGCTCCCTGGGTCTGTGCTTACTGCTGGTCTCATGCTTATTATCTGAGTCTGCGTGGGGAGGAAGGGATGACTGTTTAACTGAGACTCGTTACTATAGATATTTGAACAAAAACAGTCTCTAAAACTAAAATTGAAACAAAAACCATTTTGTTTATATTTGATTAGTTTAACATGTATCACATATACAAAGTAGAGTGACTACCATATTTCTGTATTTTTACTTGGTTTTTCATTTGTGTGTGGGGGTGGTGCAGGCACACATGTTTGAGGAGTCCAGCAGTCAGTGCCAAGTGTCTTCCTCAATCCCTTTCTAATCTGTGTGTGTGTGTGAGAGAGAGAGAGAGGAGGGGGGTAGTATAGGTGTCTTCTGAGGTCAGTGATGTGGGATTCCCTCTACAGTGGGATTCCAAACAGTTTGAGTCACCCTATGTGGGTGCTGGAAACTAAACTCTGGTCCTCTGCAAAAGCAGAGTGTGCTCTTAACTGCTGAGCACTTCCAGCCTCCAATCTTGGTTTGTTTGTTTGTTTGTTTGTTTGAGACAGAGTGTCTCAAGGAACCTGGAGCAGGCTTGTCATCAGGTCCCAGGAATCCTCATGGCCCCACCATCCCAGTCCAGTGCTGGGATTACAGACACATGTAGCTGCACTCAGAGTTTTTGTTATTGGGGGATGGGACACACACCACATTCACATGTGGAGGTCGATGGCAACTTTTTGGAGTCATTTCTCTTCTACCTTTACCTGGGTTCTGGGACCAAACCCCGGGTTGTCAAATGCACATGGCAAACTCCCGTTCCCCACCCCACCCCCCAGCCATCTTGCCTGCCCACGTGAGAGCTAGGGATGGAACTGGAGTCCTTGGGTCAGAGCTACAAGCACTTTGCCAACTGAGTTATCTTCCCAAACTTTACGTTTTTATTTTTGAAGTGGAAAAAAAATTCTTCATATTAACTAAAAGCAAATTAACTGTTTGGGTAATGCTTGTGGAGAAAGACTCATTAATTCAGTCAGTACTGAGTCACTCCTGAATGCCAGGCGATGTCGTTGCTGACAAAGATGATGAAGAGAAATGGGTCCTTCTACCAGGGAGCTTAAAACCACAGGAGGAGAGTGCGAGCCAAAACTGGATGAACGAGATAGCCACTTCAGTCACTGATGAGATTAAAGAATAGGAGTTGCTCAGAGAGTCACGTCAGGACTTGTTTGCTTAGGGTCTCATTATATAGACCAGGCTGGCCTCCAACTCACAGTGGTCCCCCTGCCTCTGCCTCCCAAGTGCTGGGATTCAAAGGATGAGCTACCTACCTCAGTATAAGAAACTTTTTACTTAATGCAGGATAATCTGAGAAACAGTAAAAATTGCTAGGCATTGGGGTTGGAGAGATGGCTCAGCAGCCAAGAGTGCTTGTTGCTCTTCCAGAGGACCCGGGTTCGATTCCCAGCACCCACATGGTGACTCACAACTCTCAGGAGTTCTCATGTAGTGAGGACTGCCTCAGAGCCCTGGGCACCAAGATACTCATGCAAGGGAACCCAGGACACTGAGCCTTGTCACATCGTTTTTTGGAAGAAGGATTAAACAAAGCAACACACACACACACACACACACACACACACACACACACACACACACACACGAGGGTCTCATTGTAGACCAGGTTGGCCAGTAGAACTCAGAGATCCGCCTGCCTCTGCCTCTGTCCCCAGTACTAAGATTAAAGACGTGTCACCACACTTGGCTAATACAAATCCATGCCAGTTTATCTGGTTGTGTGTGAGGGGAAGAATGTACATACCTCTGTGTGTGTGTGTGTGTGTGTGTGTGTGTGTGTGTGTGTGTGTGTGTGTGTGTTGCTTTGTTTTGTTTAATCCCGACCAGTGAGCCCCATAATCTCCTGGTTTCCACTTCCTCAGCACTGGAGTCCCAAGTCAACACCACCCCTGGCTTTATTTTTATCTGGTTTCTGCAGATCAAACTCAGGGTCCTTAAGCCCCCAAGGCAAACATTTAATCAACCAGTCTATCTCCCCACCACAGATAATTTTTGTTTGTTTGCTTGTTTATAGTAGACTACAAGTGAGACATGGTGTCATACTCTTGTTCCAGATAGAAGGGAGGATGAGGCAGGAGGATGGTCTGAGTGCATGGGTTTGAAACCCACTTGGGCAACAGAAGAGAGCTCATCTCAAATTGACTGGAGCTGAAATAAGTGGAGACCCCAGGAGAACTGTCACCGCCTGGTCCCAGGGATGGAGTGCACTAGTGTCTGCAGACAGCGAGCGTGAGGAACTCACAGTGCCTTGAACCCCACATCCACATGTTGTATTTATCCTGCACAGGGAAACTCTTCCTGCTGGAGTCCCAGAACGGCTCTCAGGGCCTGGACCTGGAGGCCGCTCGGCTCTCCTGCAGGAGCAGGGGTGCCCACCTGGTGTCTGCTGGAGAGCTGAGGAGGGTGGTCCAAGACTGCGCCTTCGCAGTGTGCACAACAGGCTGGCTGGCCGACGGCACCCTTGGGTAAGTCAGGACAGCCGGGGAAGCATTCCTTTCCAACCACCCCGGCTCTACCTAGGTATAGACAGGGCTTAACAATCGCCCTGCAGGGATAGCAGGCAGGCAATGTGAAACGGACTGTGCCTTCTAGCATGTTCAGTTTATTTATTTTTTATTTATTTTGATTTGTGTGTGTGTGTGTACCCATGTGGAAGTCAGGGGACAACTTTTTTTTTATTTAAAGATTTATTATGTATACAATATGCCTGTACACCAGAAGAGGGCACCAGATCTCATTATTGATGGTTGTGAGCCACCATGTGGTTGCTGGGAATTGAACTTAGACCCTCTGGAAGAAAAGCCAGTGCTCTTAACCGCTGAGCCATCTCTCCAGCCCAGGGGACAACTTTTTGAAGTCAGTTCTTACTTTCTACTTTGTCAAAGCAGGGTCCCCCTTGTTTCTTTTCCCTACGTAAAGCCGCCCGTCCAGATTGCAGCTGCTTCTCCTGCCTCTGTTCCTGTCTTGCCATAGGAATGCTGGGATTACAGAAGCATGCCACCATACCCAGCTCTTTACACGGGTTCCTGGGTAGAACTCAGGTCGCCAGGCTTCTGCGGTGCCTTTACCTTCTGAGTGGTCTCCCTCCCCGACTCTCCACCATGTTCTGGTTTCTGGAGTCATTTACTTTTGTATCTCATTCTAGTTTGAATCTAAAACATCCCCCATGGGCTCTTGTTTTGAATGCTTGTCCCCAGACTGGTGGCACTATTTGTAGGGAGGGTCCTGTGGGACATGTCTGATGTGGGGTCAGGCTGGTCAAGAAGGTCACTGGGAGCTGGCCTCTGAAGATTACTCACTTACGCAGCCTGATTTCTGTCACTTTCTGTATCCTGGTCTTCAGTCATGTGCTAGCCTCTAGCCCCACAGACTGGGTGGTTTCCTCTCCCATACCACTCCAGCTGTGTGGACTGAAACCTCTGAAATCATGAGGCAGAATGAAGTGCTCCTCCCTGGAGTGCTCTCTCAGGTGCTGTGCTCATAGCCATTCAAAAGTAGCAAATAGAAACGAGAGGACTGTGCTCTGACAAAGGCTAGGTAGGGCCTCCTGCAGGGACCTTGCAGGAAGGCCTGACCAGCGTCCTAGCCAATAAATAGCCAAAGTCAACGGCCAGGAATGTGAATGGAGATGCTTCCAGGCGCTTCCAGCCCCCAGGTGTTGACTTTTCATCACCTGAGGCATGCCAGCTCAGGCTCTAGGTCCTATAGAGCAGACAGTCATCCCCACTGTGTGCTGAGGGCCTAATCCATGGGGTGCTTTAGAGACGTAAGTCTTGTGATTAGCTGCAGAAAACCGTCCAACAGTGTTTGCACCCGCTCTTTAGGTTTCAAAGATGATAATAGAATTTCAGGCCTCCAGATGTCTGCAAGAATCCATAAAAATTGACTTTTAAGGAAGATAATTCTACCCTAGTCCTTGACTTATTTCAACAAATAATTTTTGTTAGCATAGTGTTTCTCACACAATATAAAATAACCAGTCACACCATTAACAATGAGTCAAATTCAGGAGACACGCCAGCGAAAGGAAATTCTATGTCTCAGCACTGGAAGATACTGACTTTCAGACGACAATCCTGAGGCTGGAGAAACAGCACAGTTATTAGGAGCACTGGCCACTTTTCTATAGGACCCGGGTTTGATTCCCAGCATGCACATGGCAGCTCACCACCATCTGTTGCATCAGTTCCAGGGGATCTAACACCCTCTTCTGGTCTCCTCAGGTACCAGGCACAGATATACATGCAGGCAAAACATCCATACACATAAAATAAAAAATAATTTTAAAAAAGATGACAATCCTTAAAATTTTCAAAGATATAAAAGATAAGGAGAATTTTTAACAGCATGAGAAACTATAAAAATAGCCAAATAAAAATACTTTAGAAATGAAAAATGATGGTAACTAAAATTAAGAATCTAATACTGGATCTAACAGCTGATTGAAAAGAGCCAAAGAGAGAATTAGTAAGCTGGAAGCTATTTCAGAGGGAAATATGCTGAGTAAATAAAAAAAAGAAAGGATAAAAAAATATAGAGAAAATGGGAAAGGTGATGAAACTACATGCAATTAGAATTCTAAAAGGAAAAAGAAAGAGGGTCTGGGGATGTGGTTTGGTGGCTGAGAAGTTTCATGGCAGAGACAATTGCTCTTCCAGCACCCACACAGAGGGTCTGTGCGTAGACTGCCCACTGAGGGACACTGGTTTTGTGTCTCTCTACAGATGCCTGGGTACTAGAGAGGGCATACCCACTGTCTTCTCAGGTGTTCCCTTCCCAGGCAGACTATGGAGACTCAGTGGCCCCCTCCCCGACCCCCACACATGCCAGGCACACATCATATCACTGAGACACACCCCCAGTCCCAGGACCTCCATCTTACACATCCGTCTAAGGCCTGGAGGATCTGAGCGACTTTCCTAAGAACACCGGACCACCCCCTTCTAATGGTAGTTTGCCTTCCGTTGGTACCATTTGGCCCATTTCCCTCTGTCTGGCTGATAGCTCTGTTGTTCTTCCTTCTAAGTCCTACCTCAGTTTCTGTCCTACCTCAGTTTCCCCGCCAGGCTCATGGGCGCAGGCACCAGGATCCCATTCTTCACCATAGATTTCTACAGACCTCTGAGACATGCTGGACAAGGTGACCCAGCAAAAGGAGTCCCCCCC